GTGCAACCAAAATCAACTTCTTAAGAAATAAATATCTTATTTAAAAATTTTTGTGTCTTGACTGACTGAGAAAAACCAATTTGGCAGTAGGAGTAAGGGTTAGGAAGAGATGAAGAATGATTACAGTTTTTAAAAAGCATACACAAACCAGAAGGAATAGCTCCCAAAACTGCAGCAAAGTCTTTTGGGGTTAGGTATTTGGCATTTGGAGAGAAATTTGTTTGATTATTAAACAACCACTTTACCAAAAACAAACCATTACTAAACCAATTATTATAAAACAGAGATTTGTTCTTGAATAAAATGTTATTATTCCAAATAAAACACCTCTGTGGTGAAAAATTATGTTCATAAAGTCTATGGAGCCCATGCTCCCAGAAACTCAAAGTAGAAAAGTTTGATAGGGAGTTTGGATGTGTCATAATTACACATTAGAAGAAAATGAATGCCACCAATTTGTGAAAAAACTAATTGGTGAAAAACATTCCAAATAGAAGATGGTTTTAATATGTATTGATTTAGCCACTTAATTTTGAATTTATTGCTGAGGGAATCAAAATTAATAAAATTCAGACCAATACTATTGTAAGAGTTTAATATGACGACCATCACATATAATGACATTTGTTTTTCCTTGAGGATTTTATTAAAACCTCATTGATTTACAAATGGGCTTATCCACAAAGAGAGACTGAGCTGTGTATGCCATACTACACAGACCCTCTTGCTTTTTTGTGCGTGTTTACATCTTTAGTTATTTGTATACCAAGATGTGTTACACTATTTTTGACAGCAATAAACTCAATTGAAATATTAGGGGGTATTAGAGCAATTTAGAGCATTTTCTATTTGGTAGCAATTCACATTGATTATAATTTAAATTTAAGGCTTCAGGAAAAGACTTAAGAATACACAAAGCCACTGAAATTTGTGTCTAATAATTCAAGAATAAAGCTATATCATCAGCTAGTTTTTTACATTAGTGTTGGCAATTGTAATACCCTTTAGATGACTACCATTGAAACGTAAGCTAAGGAACTGTAATTCAATTCAAGTTTATTTGTATAGCGCTTTTCACGATGCAAAGCAGCTTTACAGAAAATTACATTTCTACAATATATTTAGCTTAGTGGTGACTATGTCAGTTAATGTACATATGGCAGAAATGCACGGAAAAATCAAAAACGTAATCAGACGATGAACACTATTAACAGCAATTATTATATGATGCAATCAAACTTATAGCAGAATTTGGTAGTTCTGTATGTTGTTTCAGGGTTGGCATCATCTGAGGTCCTCTGAGGGGTTGGCATCATCTCTTCTCAGGTGTTCTGGATCCAGACAGAAGCTTGTGTAAATCCTAGTTACCACGGGATGTCAATCCCAGCAGAAATCGAAAAAAAAGACATAATTAGCGTAGCTAATTTGGCCAGGACACCGAGTTTACACCCCTACTCTTTACGAGAAGTGCCATGGGATTTTGAATGACCACAGAGTCAGGACCTCGGTTTAACGTCTCATCCAAAGGACTGTGCTTTTTGACAGTATAGTGTCCCCATCACTATACCTGGAGCGTTAGGATGAGCACCCCCTGCTGGCCTCACTAAGACCTCTTCCAACAGCAACCTAGTTTTCCCAGGTCTCCCATCCAGGTACTGACCAGGCTCAACCCTGCTTAGCTTCAGTGGGCAACCAGTCTTGGGCTGCAGTGTGATAAGGCTGCTGGTAGCCAGTGCAGAGACTATAAAATTGGGGTCCTATTTTCTTGACCTGGTAAGGACTCTAGCCGCTGCATTTTGGACTTACCTGTAGCTTGTTTATTGAAGATGCAGGACAACCACCTAGCAGTGCATTACAATAGTCCAGTCTAGAGGTAATGAATGCATGAACTAGCTTTTCTGCATCAGAAACAGGTAACATGTTTCATAGCTTGACAATGTTTCTAAGATGGAAGAATGCTGTTTTTGTAACATGGGAAATATGATTTTTAAAAGACAAGTTACTGTCTAATATAACACCCAGATTTTTGACTATTGCAATTAATTGTATTGCATTTAAAAACTTGAGCATTCTTAAGTCTGATATTCCCATCTCCCCATCTATGGACCAATGAGCTGTGTGACGTGTCCCTGACAATTTAAGCCAAAATTTAAAAAAAATTGTATTATTTTAAAAAATCATTTTAATTTGTTTAAACAGCAAAAAACGGGTATCAAGAATTTTTTTTTTGTCATTTTTGCCCTGTGGCTTTGAGTATGAATTCAAAGCATCAGAACTTACTTCTTGAATCTTCTACGCGTGTGAGGAAATGCATTTATTAAAAAAAAAAAGACAGCACGAGTCTATTTTTTTCTCTTTTTTTTAAGGTCCATGGTACTAGTCAAATGTGTCATGTTATACCTAGAAACAGTCTTGCCATTTACTGTTACGATCAAAAATGGCATTTAATATTTTAGTTAAAAAGCAACATATTAATACGTATATTTTTGGCTTTGATATTTGTATTGTATGGTAAACATTTTTTGAAAGCAAAAAGGTACTTAAGGTATGCAGTATTGTGAATAGCCAGAGCTAAAGGGGTTGCAGGCATGATGCGAAACCGCTCTTCAGCTGTGACCGTGTTCACATTAGAGTACAGCCTCTTGTACCCTATTGCTTACGTAAGCATGAGATTGGTATCAAGGAGCAGAAACAGGAAACACTTAACATATTAAAAAAATTATTCCACCTAATAGTCCCTTCTTCCAAGGTCAGTTAAGGTAACTTAAGTTCGTATCATTTTTACTAAATATTAAACATTTTGTATGTTAAACATTCAAGTCGAATAAAACTAAAATATTTTGTTATAATTGACAGCACACCACATTTCAATGAGGAATATTTAACCAGGAATATTCCTTTCAGCTGTCAATGAGTGTGCAGTGAGTGTAGTGTAATGAATAAAAGCATCATACACCAAAATAAAATGTTAGAAGAACAGTTTAATCATACATAGTCACAATTTTGCTTCCAAAAAAAAGGTATTTTCTCATCTAACATCTGGAAATGTACATAAGGCCACCTGAAAATGTACATGACTTTGACAGTGTGACAAAACTCATATGTTCATATTTATATAATTGACAATATCTTACAATTACTTTGCTTACAAGTTAGTGGCTGCTCCAAAATACAGCACTCCTTTATACAAAAATAATTATTGTCCTGTGAAATGTCCATGGTAGTAGGTAGAACCAAAGACAGGCCCATGTTTTTTTTGTTTTTTAATTCATACATTTTTTGTTATTTTATTCAACTGCCACACGTCAAAATGACTATGTTAACAGAAGGTGTCATTGCTCCAGGTACATGAAGAGGCTGACCTTTTCCAAGAACTGATTAAAAACAAAACCACCTTGAGATTGTGACGCATAAAAAGTTTTTCTTTTTTAAAATAACGCTTGTTCAAAGAAAACTGTATACATTATATTCAAAGGGAAAGGAGTGATGAATATTCACACATCAAAATGCACATTTTTGATTTTTCTTCCCCAAAAAGTGTAAAAGACATTCCATTTACAGCGTTAACGTTTACAAATGTACAACTGTACAGAGAAAATAAAAGCAAATCACTACGCAATTTAGCAAGGCCTGTCCAACATCACAACTAGATTCTTTTTCTTCTATTTAACTAATAAACTTACACTTAATAACTCCACATATACTACATGTATTCTACATTTATTCATATGAAGCAAAGGAACCAAAGCCATTAATATATTAGCCATACAGAAAAATTGTGAAGCAGAAAACGGCAGCCCCACGTCTATTCTCTGAAAAGTATACTCTTGCACATTCTCAATCTACACTGCTGAATGCCGCACATTTAATCCTACCCCACAACGTCTCACGTTCCTGAAATCAAATCTGTCCTACTTGCGCCGAAGCCAAACGTCCTTGGATGACTCCAAGGACAGGGACGTCGCCTACCAACTTCTCCACTTTGCCCAGGAGAGCATCATCTAAAACTCAAGCGCCGTCTCCCCCCACACCCAAAAAACAGCAACAATTTAATATTTATACTTGTAGATGAAGATGCTATACATTTTGCCTAAGCTATTACAATGTAAAGAGATGATAATCAGTACAACCATACTGTTTCTAGGGCAGTGTTAAAAAAAACTACTCAATAGACAGATGTTCCACAAACGTGATGACAAAGAAAAATCATTCCATTAAAACATTAAATCCAGACACAGCATGCCAAATCTCCCCACCCCCTGCACGCCTCGCATACCTCCCACGCACCCCAAAATGGAAAAATTCCAGGTATCGGTCTAACTCATAGCTGTGTATAATGGCAGGTGCACTGGTATCCTTACAATTCATTCGAAACATAATAATAAACCAAGACAATAGGTGTGCAACAGACTTGGTCAGTGGGGTGTATAGTATACTGCAAACACACGCTTCTAAAAAAACAAAAACAAAAAAAATAAATCGGAGCAGTTAATCAAATACGGTGCGGTGCGCACATGAGGGAGGGAAAGAAGAAAATAGATGGCAATTGCAGCCACTTCAAACCACTTCTGAATGATACGACCCCCATTTAAAGGCAGCAAACTCTAGGCAGCAAAGCTCTATGATCGGTTGAGAATAATGCAACTAACTTAACGCAACTAACTTAATGGCACGGCAGACGGAAGTGGTCATATACAAGCAAGATTTTTTAAGATCAAGCTGACTGGTTCATTATTTTTCAAATAATATTGATTATTATAATAAATATATAATAATAAATATTGATTATTTCAAAGGGTTACTAATGACACAACATTTGGATATTTTCATGTCTGGGGAAAATTTGGGATTAAATGGGTTAAGTAAACAATTAGACACAAAATATTGATTTGAGTTAAAATATTTGCTTGGCTAATTAACCGCAAATCTTCAGTGAAGAAAAACAGTTCCTAGAAAGCAGCATGGTATAGAAGCTTGTTTCCGGCATGGGATAAAAAAAAAAAAAAAAAAAAAGTAAATTAAAAAGGATCACTCAGTTTGGCCTTATAAAGTCACTTGCTGGTGTAAATTGTTAGAACTGTAAATTTTCAGCAAACATTTCTTTTTCTACAGAGAATGTACAAGGTAAAAAAATGTACAAGATATTTACTAGAAAAGGAAAAAGGAAACAGTCAGTTACATCAATTACATCATGAACAAGGGTGTTGTGCTTTACCCAGGAAACAGCTTACAGACCATGCACTCTCTAGTGGGGGGTGGTGGAGGTAACAATGGGGACTGCACTGGGAACTGCACCAGCGACTAGTCAGACGTCTCAGCATTCTTAGGTGAGGCCAACTTCTTTTACTTTCATTTTTTTGGTAAAACCCCTAAAGGGTATGAACGCCACGGTGGAGAAGATGCCCATAACAGACGTGGTTTTGAGGGAAAGGGGCATGGGTTGGGTGGGAGGCCCTTACATTAGGCCATTGGTGGGGCCCCCAATTGGACCTAGGTCTGATCCACTCTTCATGTAGTACTTCTCCAACTTAGCCAGGATGTGTTTTCCATATGTGTATTTACGGAGAGTGGCAATATGGGGCCGAATCTGAAATTGACAACAGCAATGGTTTAAATACTGCCCGTGATGATTGCATTTTTTAATCTTTTCTTCAGTTATTTTAATGATGCGACAGCATTCTGTGCTTATACCTTGTGCATGATGATCTTGCGCTGGGCAGGTTCAGCCATGTCAATCATTCTTTGCACTACATAATTTGCATACTGGTCCTTCATCATGGTGTAGAGTGCACTGTGAGGTCCATCCTTCTGACAGCAGACTTCATCGATCAGCAGGGCCCTCTCCGCACGAGAAGAATGAATCACGCACTTCTCTACAACATTACTACAAGAGACAGACACATACAAAATAAAGGGAAATTTACAGTTTTCAGATGACCAAAGGGTATCTTTTTATATCTTTACATAATATCTTACAAATTTAATACATTACGCAAAAATTATACTTGAAAAGCACACAATAAAGAAAAAATAATTTGGGGTTATTTACTGTTATTACCATTTCATCGATTTTGTTGACGGAAAATAATAGCTGTACTGTAATACCATAAAACTACTTGTTTTGAGATTGAGGTAGCTCTGTAAAATTTTTCATATAAATAAATTCTAGATCATTTTTATTTAAACTGTACTATTTATATTATTCTTTATATTTTTTATATTTATAAATTAAATAGAAAACTTAGCATTGTCTCGACAACAAAATCCCCATCATCTGAATATAGTAAGGGTAAAACATTTTTTGGACAAACTAAGTTGACCAAATTTCTGGTAAAATTTCTTTAAGGAAACTGGGAATATTTCCTAGCTCAGTGGTCAAAATATAAATGAAATTTAATGGGTTATTACCTATTAATTAAAAAATTAAAAACAAAACACACACACACTTGCATTTGTGGTTTACGGGGACACTCCAGAGGTGTAATGGTTTTTATACTGTACAAACTAGTGTTGTCAAAAGACCCGGTATTTCGCTACAAAGTCGGTACTAAAAAAATTAAAACCTTACGGTACCAGGTTTTCTTGATGCGCTATCAGAAAGCTATCCTCTTCCAGTGTTGCCAAGTCCGAGATTTTCCCGCGGAATTGGGCTGCTTTAACACTGCTGCCGCGGGTTGTTATTCATGTCCGCGGGTTGAAAAACGACCCCATTAACGTGATATTTAGCCCCTGGAATGCGAATTGTACCAGGGGAACCAAAACCAAAACATGCGTATTTTATCCTCGGAACTCGATTTTTAACAGGGGACTTCCCCTACAGCAGTATGAAGTACAGTATACCCGAGGCAGACCTGTCGCTGAGTATGATGTCCCACACCCCTGGGAGGCACCTGTCCACCAGACTCCCCCCCCCCATCCTTCCAGCCTTACGCCACTCCCCCTGGTGGTTACCTGGTCTGTTCTGATGGCTCTCGAATCATGTCCTCAAATTATCAGCCTCCACAGCATGCTGAATTCCATCAGCCATCCTTCTCCTCGCCTCAAGCGGCTGGTTTCATTTCCTCTGCACACGACAGTGAACTACAGCACCTGCGTCATGAGCATGCACAATTAATGCAGACTCATCAGGCTTTTCAGGCAGACCTGAGGGAGCTGAGAGAAGTCCGTGCGGAAGTCAGAGAATTAGTTCAAGTTGCTCAGTCCCTTCAAGCTGACCTTCAAACCAGTCAAACGAGTGAAACCAGAGGTCAGAATCTCTCACCTGCACAGCCACCGGCGTTGCAGTTATCCAGTCCACCTGTGAGGCTGTATGAATCCACACCTTTAGTGGAGGATGGAAATTTTGCTGATCTTCCCCTACCGCCATGGGGATGACCCCAACCTACCACCCGAGCTCCTCCAGTCCTGGAATGCATGGGAGGAAGAACTCCGATACCTTCCTTGTATCTCCTTTCGCCGGTCTTATGTTCCTCCTGAAGTTGGGATGGATGGAGTTACCCATGAAGTACATATCTTCTCGGATGCCTCGGAGCAGGCATATGGAGCGGTGGCCTACCTCCGGACTACTGACCAGGATGGTCAGACCTACCTGTCCTTCATTATAGCACGCTCCCGTGTCACTCTAAACGAGCTCACTCCATTCCAAGACTGGAACTCTGTGGTAGTCTGAATTGGTACCGAGAACCGTGGATTTTCACTGGTATTGGTACCGAATACTGAAATTTTGGTACCGTGACAACACTAGTACAAACTGTATTTTCTATCGCCCTACACCTAAACCTACCCTTTACAGAAAACTACTAGCAATTTTTGAATTTCAAAAAACACCGTTTTGTATGTTTTTTAAGCCTTTTGTTTCACGGGGACACAGGAAGTGTCCTCATAAACCATGTTTACATTGTAGTACCCTCATAAACTATATATACCAGTACACACACACACACACTCAGTAGTATTACTTGGATTTAACTTGAATAGAAGCTATGTGGATACCTTTAAACTGATAAGATTATCTCTTTCAATAATTGATGATAATAGTGCTATGCTCTCAACCAGTATTCGGTATAGGACAGGGTACATGTCATTCAAATCTATATGAACTGGAAAAGCTGACAAGTTGCCTAAAGCCTTCATTATAAAGAATGAGAAAAAAACTAAAAGCATCAGCCTTTATGTCGAATATCCCTGAAATTATTGTTTTGCTTAATTAAGCTGGTCTAAATTAAGGCTAACGCACAACCTACAACAACAGAAAATAAATAAAATTTTCTCACATTTCTCTTGTCATAAACACTATCTACTTCTCAAACAATGGTATAATAATCCAAGTTGAAAGACGAAAATTAAGCATTTTCTCCCTAATATAAACCTTTATAAAGAAAACGCTTCATGTGACAATGCAGTAAGATAGTGATAATAAAAGACCACACTCTGCAAAATCAGTAAGGTGTATACTAACACATCAAGCAAGCACATGTGGCTACAATATTAACACAATGCGTTAAATTGTACGTTGGGAATTTTCGTTCCATAGAAAATCATTATAAAGAAAACACAATGTGGCTTAATGGACAAAAACAGTGGTTTAATAAAAAGGCCAAATTCAGTGAACCGTAAAAGTATACAGGTGCATCTCAAAAAATTAGAATATCGTGAAAAAGTATTTTTTTCTAACTTATTTAAAGGGGTCATATGATGCGATTTCAAGTTTTCCTTTCTCTTTGGAGTGTTACAAGCTGATTGTGCATAGATAAGATCCCTGAGTTGCAAAGACTAAAGTCTCAAAACCAAAGAGATATTCTTAATCAAAGTTAAGACACTGCCACGCCCCCCTAAAACGGCTCGTTCTAACACGCCCCCACATATCTAGGTCACTATGTGGAAATATTTGCATAATGCCGCCCAAATGTGCACGCAAAGAAAGAAGGCGTGGTTTCAGTAACCGCAGTTAGTGTTGAAGCAGCCATGTCAGGGAGACGCTGTGTGTTTCTAGGCGAAAGCAAAAGCACTTTATTTGGCCTTCCGAAAGTAGATGCATTTAGAAATCTTTAAGATTACTTACAACAGAACAGCAATGCATTTTATGGACGACCATTTCGTGAACCTAGGAGAGGAGGTAATTCTGACTTTGCTATGACAATCTGGCGCTTCTGAATCAGCTACTGTTTTGTTATTAGTTTAAGTATTTGATATTGACTGTTCAAATGCGGAGTTTTGCGCTTCGTGTGTGTGTGTGTGTGTGTGTGTGTGTGTGTGTGTGTGAGAGAGAGAGAGAGAGAGAGAGTGTGTGTGTGTGTGTGTGTGTGTGTGTGTGTGTGTGTGTGTGTGTGTGTGTGTGTGTGTGTGTGTGTGTGTGTGTGTGTGTGTGTGTGTGTGCGCGAGCGAGAGAGAGAGCGCGAGAGAGAGAGAG